AACACCGCCGCGCGTGTGTATTAAAAAGTTACAAACGAGGTTTTGGTCAGCAGAGTGTGCTCAAATAAATTGTGGGTACGATCTTTTAAATATCTGATTAGTGCACAAAGAGTTCGGTTTAGAGAGGATTCATCAATACAAAAAGAAGACGAACACTATCAGATTTACTAGACTTTAAAAACAAGAGGCCCAGAGGTCCTGTATCGCTCACCTGGTTAATAAAGCAACCATGGGAAATTATTCTGATTACATAAAATCCCTCCAATGGTACAGAAGAGACAGATTTTAAAGATTTAAATCTCGAATTTCCCTGTGGGGCCCAACACTCATCAGCACCCAGAGGGGCCTTACCCTTCGTTTATACAAAATTAAGTCCCCTTTGCCCAAGGATGCTCCAGACTAAATTGGGATAATATCCCTTAATTCTTATGGTAAATGCAGGATTTTAAAGGTTTTTACTTCTATTTCCCATATTTAACCCCGCAACTCAGCCCACAGGGGTCCAAACCCACTGTTTATACAAAACCCTATGGTAGAACAAGGGTTTTAAAGGTTAACCTCGATTTCCCCTATTAGGCCCACCTCTCTGCCCCCAGGGGGGCCACACATACCGTTTATAAAAATTGAGTCCCTTGGCCCAAGGGTGCTCCTGACCAAATTCCGATAAATTTCCTTAATTCCTACGGTAGAAGAAGGATTTTAAAGGTTTTACCTCAATTTCCCCTATTGGGCCCTGCTCCTCTGCCCCCAGGGGGTCCTCACCCACCGTTTACACAAAATTAAGTCCCCTTTTGCCTTAGGATGATCCAGGCCGAACTTAGTCGAAATCTACTGAGCCGTTCAGGATAAGTAGCGGTTTAAAGGACGGACGACATACGCTGCGCCATGGCATAAACTCACTTGCCCTACGGATACGAAATACCATTCGTGCGCTCAGAAACGATTTTCCATGACAACGAAACAAAACAAAGTTGTATAAAGAAAGTATAGTGAAGTATCGGATACAATAATCTGGATGTAAAATGGCGAGGGTCCGCAGAACATTAATCGACAGATTTGGAGGAAACGTTTGCAAAATGTTGCTTACCCATGGAAAATGGTCGGACTTCTGCGTTGACACAAACAATTGAGTCTGCATTAACGCAGGCATGCTGTACTATATGTATCAAATTATCCGGTCTAGAGGGGGGCCTTTATATAAGTACAAGACGAAACATGTTAGGGACTAATGAATTTCCCTTACTATATCTTTCTTTAAATTTTTGATTCGAAATAACAAATATGTACAATACAACAAGAGGCCCATGCGGCTTAACGGTCACCTGAGTTCTACAGTATTTATTTTTGATGTTGAAATATGTACCAATTTGAGTAAAAAATAGTTCAGTATAATGTTAACTTAACTTTGTCAGGACCATGAGCTGATCATACCTAGACCGATTTTAGGTGAGATCGGCCTATTAGAACTTGTTTCATGTTTGAAATAGGTATTTACAAAATAGCGGCCATGGCAGCCAAATTGAATTTCTGATTGACCCAAAAAATAGCAACACTTTGTCAGGACCATAAGTCGATTATTCCTACAAAGTTTCAGTTCAATCGGCTTAGCAGAACTTGACTTTAAGTTTAAAATAGTTTTTCAAAATGGCGGCCGTGGCGGCCATATTGGATTTCTGAACGACCCGAAAAATAACAACACTTTGCCAGGACCATGAGTCGATTATTCCTACAAAGTTTCAGTTCAATCGGCTTAGCAGAACTTGACTTTAAGCTTAAAATAGTTTTTCAAAATGGCGGCCACGGTGGCCATATTGGATTTTTGATTGACCTGAAAAATAACGACACTTTGTCAGGACCATAAGTCGATCATTTCTACCAATTTTCAGTTCAATCGCGCCCCAGCAGAACTTGACTTTAAGTTTGAAATAGGTATTTTCAAAATGGCGGCCGTGGCGGCCATATTGAATTTCTGATTGACCCGAAAAATAACAACCCTTTGTCAGGACCATGAGTCAATCATTCCTACAAAGTTTCAGTTCAATCGGCCTAGCAGAACTTGATTTTAAGTTTGAAATAGTTTTTCAAAATGGCGGCCATAGTGGCCATATTGGATTTCTGATTGACCTGAAAAATAACAACACTTTGTCAGGACCATGAGTCGATCCTTCCTACCAATTTTCAGTTCAATCTGCCCAGCAGAACTTGACTTTAAGTTTGAAATAGTTTTTCAAAATGGCGGCCGTGGCGGCCATATTGGATTTCTGAACGACCCGAAAAATAACAACACTTTGTCAGGACCATGAGTCGATCATTCCTACAAACTTTCAGTTCAATCGGCCCAGCAGAACTTGACTTTAAGTTTGAAATAGTTTTTCAAAATGGCGGCCGTGGCGGCCATATTGGATTTCTGAACGACCCGAAAAATAACAACACTTTGTCAGGACCATGAGTCGATCATTCCTACAAACTTTCAGTTCAATCGGCCCAGCAGAACTTGACTTTAAGTTTGAAATAGGTATTTTCAAAATGGCGGCCGTGGCGGCCATATTGAATTTCTGATTGACCCGAAAAATAACAACACTCTGTCAGGACCATGAGTCGATCCTTCCTACCAATTTTCAGTTCAATCTGTCCAGCAGAACTTGACTTTAAGTTTGAAATTATTTTTTCAAAATGGCGGCTGTGGCGGCCATATTGGATTTCTGATCGACCCGAAAAATAACAACACTTTGTCAGAACCATAAGTCGATCATTCCTACAAACGTTCAATCGGCTTAGCAGAACTTGACTTTAAGTTTAAAATAGTTTTTCAAAATGGCGGCCACGGCGGCCATATTGGATTTTTGATTGACCTGAAAAATAACAACACTCTGTCTGGACCATAAGTCGATCATTCCTACCAATTTTCAGTTCAATTGCGCCCCAGCAGAACTTGACTTTACGTTTAAAATAGGTATTTTCAAAATGGCGGCCGTGGCGGCCATATTGAGCTTAAGCACAGGTGACCTAAAAAATGCATATATGAGGCCCGTTTACTGGCTAAACTTGTATTATAGGAACTAGTTGGGGCGTGACACACTATTTGTTTCACCAAAACAAAAACAAAAGCATATTAAATCGGTCAACGACACCTGAAAATGCGAACGCACACAACCGGAAGTGAATCGACATTGACTTAAGAGGATCGGACGTTATCCGCTACAACATTCATAATATTTCCTGTTATGATAACTTCAGATCAAACGGGCGACTTTTACATTAAACAGGATTCATATCATATATGTATTACGTCGATTCGTCAGCACTACACAGTCTGTCCCACTTGTGAACGAAATGTTTTTTTCTCTCTAGAATGTAGGTTTGCTTTGTTATGATCATTTTATTGGGAGGTAGGTTAAGGATGTGAGATTACTTGTTACATTATATTCTTCCTTTTTTGCATGTAACGTTTATAAACAGGAAATAATTACGTCCCTTCTTTGTCCTCATACTAGCTGGTTCTGCCTATGTGTTACTGTTTTTGTTTGATTGTTTGGTTCAGTGGACAGGTTAAAAGGTTGGTTGGTAAGTGTGTTGGTTACTCAGAGGTGAATGGTTTCAGGTAGGTTAAGTCACATGCTTCCCTTAAAAAGAAATCTTAAAATGAAAATAAAAAAATAAAATAAAAAAAATCTAAATAATGTGATAATTCAGCGTCCTTTCTCTCTCATTAATACCATAATCCATGATAACAATTCTAGAAAGTAAACTGTTCATTTTTTACTTGCTTAAGATAAACAGAGTAAAACATGCAGGTAGTTATAAGTTTCATTTTTTCTTGAATAACAGCTAAACTATGTAGATCAGTGGATACAGTAGTCCTATCGAGTTTTACAAATACATATAGACATGACATTTCTCATTAAATACATTTCATAGTATAATAGATATTAGGATATAAACAGTAAAGTTGATAAGATAGCATTTAAACACTTAATGTGTTACAGATAATACCTTTTCAAAAAGGAATGTTATGTCCATAGGTATCACGAGACCAGTGTCTGATGGGTTGATAACAAATACAACGCTCAAAATGTATACAATGAAAAATACATAGTAGCAATAAAATGCAATAAAAGTATATTCTAAATAAAATATGAACACCAGTGTCTATTATAAACAAAAGTGTAAAATTAATAAAATATGTATTAAAAAGAATAAAACATTAAAACAATCTTTTTTATAAGAAATTAAACGTTACCAATCAATCACTGTACCTTACTTTAGCACTTCCAGTCTCACTAACAACATGTAGTATATATTTGGCTATATACACTGTAAATATACCACGAAATTTTACCGTGTAATATACAATAGAAACATGACTGTATAATAATAGCACTTTGAATAAGGCAGTATAGTACACAATGTGATGTAATTTTTTTTTATATAATCTAACATGTAAATGTATGAGCACTGGTGTACGTTACATGTCACCTATTGGGAATTATCAACGCAATGACGTAACACCGAAGCGGAGGACTCAGAACTTCTCACGTGCAGGAAAACCAAACAAACTCCAATCGGGTAAATTATGACATTATTGATAGATCATACTCGTCAGGGTCAAGGATTTATTTTATTTAACAAAACCCCATGAAATTGTATTCTAGATATAAGTCAATTGATTATTTTGACACCATAAATCACTGTTATCTACGTAAGAGGGAATGTTCCTGATAATATCTCTTAAAATGTTTTTTATTTAATTTTTCACACAAACATGTAACATCTTATTTTTGATTAACCAGAACTTCTCCAAGTTTTGAAATTAATAAAAATAAAATTATGAGTTTTTAAGTACTCATGCTTCGTTGTTAAAAGTAGTTTCGACCAATTCGGATTTTCTACCTTTTGGCCTATAGCATTACCGATGAGTCTTAAAAGGCCGAAACAGCTGTATGATGCAGCGAAATTTATTTTGTATCTGTTAACAAATTATTAAACTAGAAAATGTCTGTAAGACATAAATGCCCCCGCTCGTGGATTGGACGGGACGGGACGGACATGGGCAACACTATATGCCTCCCCATTTTATGGCGAGGGCATAAAAACACCATCACCTGTGTGTGTGTGTGTGTGTGTGTGTGTGCTACGTTCATCATTGTCAAAACAGTCGAAATTTCATCATGGTCTCTTCCAAAATAAACGATATCTTTACAAATATTTATACAAAAACACAGCTGCCAACGAAGCCAGAAGAACCGCGCCCGATGTTTAAATACTGTCAACGTATTTTGGCTATAGTATTAAACATGATTCATGATTGAATATCTCTTAACCGGCAGCAAATGCTTCAACGAGGGACAATACAATGTTCTATGTTCACAACATTACTACTAATAAATGGTGAACGGTAATATCACTTCAAGGCGGCTCAGATTTCGCCGGTATCTTGAAAGATAGTAGTTTTAACAAAAATACTTAATTTATATAAATTGAAAATATATATTTGTATCATTTATATATATATATATGACATAAAATATACATCATTCCCTGATCTGTCGTTGAATTATACATCCCTCTCCGAGTTCTCTGTCACTGTGAGATGGATATTTGTCTCTTTCTCGCAGATAGCGTCACGTGATTGGTACCTACTTTTGCACCTGCGTAAAAAAACCGGAACCACAAGAATCAACAATGCGCCTGTGAGAGCGCTACAGGCGATAAAGTAAAACGAGGTCGTGTACGTTCCGGTATAGTCCCTCAGCAACCCTGGAAGATAGAACATAAAATATATAAGGACACAATTTTTTTTTAACATATTGATATTTCTATCTTTATTTGATAAGGTCTTCTTGGCCCATCAACACCATGAGGTAGTACAAGATCACATGGTAGTCCCCTTTTGTCAGCCAATAGTAGAAACTGCATTTGCAGCATTTTCCATGGGCTCATAAAATGGGAGCCATATGTGGCGTATTTTTGGTCCCCTCCCAAGACCAAAGGTAATGCTCACATCTTTCCTCAACTTACTGAACTTTCTATAACTGTCGTTTTTTCTAATGAATAAAAACGGCACTTAGTAATTAAATCAAAATCACACTTTTATAAACTTTACGCAGGTCCGTTTATGAACACGTATTTTAATAGCCATTACCGGACTGTTTATTTTGTAAAAGTACGGTTGTAAACATGACGCAGAAGATGACGGCTAGAAATCGGTGGTGATTAGGTCAGGCGGAGTAATTTTTAAGAAAGCCAATAGCACAACACTTGATCAATGAAACCTGCATTCAAAATTTAAGTATTGAAAAGGTTAGTATTCGTTAAAAAAGGTATCATAATTCGTTGAACCCACCTCCATCCCATTTCTGCAACCTCCTATGTTTCCTTTAATGCAATACAGTATTTTTTTAGTTTATACTTAATGTCTTATGTTATTCTGGTCGCCACCTAAATTCAAATATTATATGTTATCTTTTATATTGCATGGGCTTATTTTTGGTCCCCATCTTAGATCAAAGATAATATTAACGGCGTATTTTTGGTCCCCACCTAAGACCAAAGATAATATTTACATCTTTCATGAATGAAAAGAAAAATGAAAGATTATGAACATTCTATAACTTTGTTTTTTTCTAATGAATGAAAACGGCCATTATCAACCTTTCATCAAGGTGTTTGTTATATTTGTATATTGTGTTGGTCTTACAAGCTCGCTCTTGTCATGATCCTGTATATAGACTTATAGGTCCATCAAAACGATACGTTCAAAGAAGGCAATGGCATCATTGTTCCATCAACATATACGACCATACAGCTACGGTCATCAACCAAATATGGTCACATAGCAGTCTTTATGGTTCACCAACACGATCGGGTAATGCAGTGCCAAATTGAAGTCCACATGAAGACAGTGTCCACGTGCGATTGAGTTACTAAAAGACAGCTTAAAATTCAGTTTGTATAGTGTCACAAGAGGGGTATCGAGTTTGAGATATAAAGGTAGTCGGCACTGAAGCGGTAAGGGGATCACCAAGGCAAGTAAACTAATTTTCTTTCCATACAAAACCTTGGTACCCAAAATGTGCACGGGTTTGGGAAGGTTTAAGTGACCGAACTTTCAAACACGCATGGACGGTGTCGTTAAGTACGTTGATTTCACTACCCATTCCGACAATTCCGTCAAACAATTCTGTATTGCATTGATGTATAAAAAATACAGGGTTTGTTTTATATGAAGAGTGCTTTACACAGACAAACGTCCATTTAATCTGGAAAATGATGTAATAACAACGGTAACGGAAATGTTATGCCTCGGTAACCTTATTGATGTTATTACTGAAGATATTGGGGTTGTATGATGATACGATAATGCTTTTTACATCTTTCCCGTTAACAATAGGCATGTAGAACCACACCCTCGATATCACGGGGGTTGTGCTCACTTTCGCTCTCTACACCCTTGGAATGTTCTAGCAAAATTGAAGGCACGGAGATAGCTGTTTGATTGGTCTCGGTTAAAAAACCCCTGATCAATCGCTAGGCTGATACCTGTCCTTTGAAGATTGAAAAGAAGAGACGCCCGACTTTAAACACCGTTTCGTGACCGCGAGATTCTTTTGATGTATATCAAAGGATCGAACTAGTCTTCTCGTCTCATCAACAAGGTGGCGCACACTGAGCCAGCCATTTCGCTATGACATATTCCAGGGGTGTAGAGAGCGAAATTGAGCGGAACCATGACTTTGTTGTTATTGCTAGTGCTGAACACTTAAAGCATCATTCCTTATTCATTTTGGCTTGGAAAGCCACAATCGTGACATTTCTCGTCGCCATTATGTTAGAGACATCAGGAATCATAGACACAAAAAATGAACCATTTATCGGAACCCCAATGCCCTCGAAGACTTTTCCGAATTATAATTACATCTTGTTGCTTAAAGGCGCTCTTATATAAACACAATGAGCAAATTATTTAATTCAATATGTGAGGAAAATGATCACATGTCGAGCAAAATCAACTTATGTACCAACCTTTCCATGAGTGTTTGCAACTTCAGGAATAACCCGTACACAACATGCTGAGTGCCACAGATATGTCTAGACAAAATATGTAAGCATGTCTATATTACCTCCGTCAGTATCTCCACTCTACCGAAACACCGGAATGCTGAACACTAAACCACACTTTTGAGGCTATACTCGGTGAAAGAGTAAACTTACTCTAATGTTATAACCTTGACAGGTGAGTATGACATTGTTTTCGGTAACATTGTACTGATAACTGGTTATTTAGTCCTTACAACCACCCATTCAAGGTAAAACGTCCAGCAGTGATGAGAAGTCATTGCTATGGCTATCCAAAATGTTGCAAAGTGGCATAAATCAAGCCCGAATTCTGCAAGGGTTCGCTCATCATACAATGGATAACAGTAGGTATATTCCTTTCTTAATTTCCGGCCTACACGGATTGTCGAGAGAGAGAATATAAGTAAAACAGTAGAAGAAATATTGGAACTATTCACGATAAACATAAATGGTGTTCATGTGTATGGTTAAAATTCTAAACTTTCGAATTTGAGCTTCACAACTGAGTTTATCATTCAAAGGGAAGTAACTAAAAATTATTTTTACTTCATTTTGCGTGTGTTCTGCCAAAAATAAAAGACCTCTTTTTGGTTAATTCGTAAAGTTAAAGAGGCGGATTGAATACAACATGAGTAACAACCCCGCTACTTCTTGGATGCCCCGCATGTGTTTTATGTATTGATACTTTAGCAACTTTAGTCAACAATTCATAGAAAATAGAAATGAAGTAAAACTGAATAAAGCAACAGGTATAAACGTATAAAACATTCTTGACGCGGGTACGTATATCATTTGTATTATCGTACGTACATGTAGTCAAACGTCGAGTAAATACGTGATTTCGCTGTTATATTTTCCCCAAAAAACCCGAATCCCCCCAAAACCCAACAAAATCAGTTAACGATATGAGAGATGGTAGACATTTATAAGCCAGTGTTAGACATGCCGTTTTCGTGTGACAACAAACGAACCGTATGGTCATGTTACCATACTGGGTAGTTCGTACGGAATGGTTCGAGCATCGTATTCCCTACAGTAATACAAGTCACCTTCTTGTCAATGTGTGCAATAAAAAAACACGTTCGAAGTGTTGTAATGGAGGCAACAGATCGATTTGTTTTTTCTTTTGAACAGATGACACAGGAAAAAGCACAATACAATGCAGGGACACCATATTAGTTATCTTTTGCGATAACGTGGAATGTGCTCTTTTCCAACCAACAGATGAGCCATTCATTTATGTTTTTAGTTTGTTGGGTGTACATAATCAACGTCAAATATAAGGCGATGGGGAAACCTACAATGTTGCACATCTTGGTTTAATTGCGGAGTTTGGCAACCCCCACTCAGGCTTATGGCCACCAACTCATGCTTAGCTTAATTTATGCATCTAGAGTCGTGCACATAACCACTTTATTTTGAGTAAATAACAAATAAGTATCGAAGAGTTGTCGCCCATGTATAAAAGCTAAGAACATAAAGAGGTACTCGCGGTGAATGAAAAGTAGAGGATTGTGGATATTATGCACTGAGCGCGCCATTGAGAACATTTTGTAAACAAAAAGGTCATACAGTACAAGCTATTTTTGTTAACCATTCAAAATACAAATCTATTCTGGATTACCAGATTTTAACCCACCCACTTCCTGCTTTATTTGGAATTTGTATGTGATAGGACGGAAAGTGCATATATGCTTTTACGTGTTGTTAATAGAGTAGACATATTGTCAACAGTCACCGAAAGTTTGCTGATTGTAAATGATATCACTGAGACAACCCGTTTACGCATTATGTTTAAATGTTAGCCCAATCTGATTAAAATCATATGTTACATGGCTTCGTTAACTTCGTACTTCGGAGCCATGTAACAGATGATTTTAATCAGATTGATGTTACCCTTGAATACAGTATCCTACACTATCGCTGTGAAAAAAGCGGAAAACATTGAAGAAAATTACATCTTTCTCAGCAATTCAAAATGCGATTTGTTTGGAGTAAGCATAGTAAACGTACATTTATTTGATCGATATTGTTGTATACCCATTGAAGCAATAACATACCTGTTCCGTTCTCTCACGAAAATGTATGAAAGTACAGCTTATGAGTGCCACTCGTAATCGGCCAATCATCATTAATCTGTGAAAACATGATTCTGCATTTTACAGATTTCATTAATAAACTACATAAGTAACATATTTATTTATTTTAATTATCGAGTAGTTACCTGCTACTGGTGCAGAGGTTCCCAGCGACACTCCCTGAGCGACAAGAAGTATCCCCATAGCGCTTCTGTATTTCTCCATCCCTAGGAAGTCGACTACTACAGCGGGCGCCAGAGAGAATAAACTTCCGGCAAAGAGACCGTCCAGCATCCCAAAAACGAGCATCGACCAGAACTGTTGGTAGATAGGGGACATTAGGATGACCAGTCCGGCCATAAGTTGTGTGATACCGACCGTCGTATGAGATCTGAGAATGTGTCGATCCACTATTACTCCGCCAAGGACACGGCCTACAAAGTCACACGCATTGGTGGCCGATACTATCAGCGCTACCTGGTAGTTGCTTATTTGTCGCTCTCTTGCGTATGGAGGTATGAAAACGTGTACATATCCGGCTGAAGCGCCTCCTAGCATGTAAACAATTAAGAATAAGCGCATGAGTGAACTTTTCAAAACTGAAAAGTCGAACATACCTGCAGGCTTTTCGTCCGCAATGTCGGCGACCATGTCGACAGTGTCGATGCTTTTGTAACAGCTAATTTTTCCGTTGGACGCGGCCAGATCCTGTACAGACATATGTACTAAGTCTCCTTTGCTAGCCGAGTATATGACAGCTGATCGTGATAGACGCTGTATTATACTTTCACTGGAAGACACAAATCTGTTCGAATGGGAAAAATGGTTGTGTTTCATGTGATGGAGAACGGGTGCCGGCTGCAGCAATGACACTTCCGGTTTATGGTATCTTATGTCCATTTGACCTAACTGTTTTACTTCTAATTTATCGTGAGATAAACTGCATCCCAGTTTGCCTTTTTCTAACACATGAAGTCTGTCTTGAGATAAAGTGGATCCAAATTTGTTTGGTTTCGGCAGTAGGTTGTCGTGAGATATACTTGACAATAGGTTATCATGTTTTTTCACGTGTAGTTTGTCCTGGGGTAAACCTGAGCTCAGTGCATCACTGCTAACATCCGAATGATGCTGTTTACATGCGTAGAAATCTGTTGGCCTCATTAACATAGCACTGACCATTGTATGAAACAGTAAACCACCCGTGATCAGCAACGCGCCACGTAACCCGTATGTGTCGAGGAGAAAACGGTACAAGGGAGGTAACCCTAAACCGCCCAACGCTGCTCCTGCCAGGACGATAGCGTTAGCCAAGCTGCGGCGTCGGTTAAAATAAAGTCCGACTAAGTACGAACTGGACGGAAAAACACATGCCAAAGCTAAGCCTGAAAATAAAGAACATCGAAGATTACAAGCAAAAGGTGTCCCAAATGATTAAAGTAAATTATTAGTTCTAATCTGTTAAGTTAATCGTTCTTTGTGGTATTAAACGTGTTATTCTTTTCTTATAAACCTTAGTTTTCTTCGTGTTTTTATTCGTGCATTTGTTTTTCTCGACCGGTTGTTGGCCATAATGACCTTTCCTGTGCTGATGGGCCGTTCAGCATGTAATTGTAATAGATGAAAGTCTTTTTTTCCACGAAAAATTAACATCACTACACTACTGATATGAAGCTTATGAAACCGAAAAAATCCTCCAATTATGTGCATATTATTTCACACGATAACTATAGAGATGAATCACGTAGGTACATAGCTTAATTCGTGCGACATTAAACCCTGCACACATGTAAGATGTATCCTTGTGAAGTCATAAAACAGTCGAAAAAAACAGAAAATTGATGATCTGAAAGGAGGTAGTATTATGAAATACGTTTCTGTTGTAATTTTTTTTCAACTTCTGTTAATTTTTAGATTTCAAGCCTCTTTCGCATTTGAAAAGGAGCGCGATTTCAACAGATAACGACTGATATTTAAAGAGCTATCAGCAAACATGAATTAAGCACAGAGCGATTCTGATAAACGTTCGAAAATGAAACCGGTATCTCGACTCTAATACCTCTGAATACAACTTACTATGTCAAAATGTGCTGAGTCAGTAAATGTATTGGACAGAAATGTTTTATGTTGTTTAAGCAACATTAGTACTTGATTATTATCACTATCATTATATGCTTCAGTGCCAATCAACGCAGGAGGGGTTATTACATATACGGCCAACAAAGGGTCGACAAAAACTCAATCTAAAATAGAAACATCAAACAAACGTAAAGATTAAAGACAAACGTCAACATGAATATTGAAAGTGGCTATGGTGACTCTATTTTATTAAAAAGACCACCAGCTGTTAGATAGTTTACAATGGTAGCGACATTTTTATCTGCAAAAATTGAAATGCACACCGTACAACTCCATCACAATGAGACGACAAAGCATCACCAGGGATTGTAGTTATTAAAATAAGCAATACTCCTAACTTTCCGTTTGATTGTGCCAATGATCATTTGTGAACAAAGTTCGGGAACACTTCCACAACAAAACAGCAAAGGATCATAACGCAATTAATATGTGACAGTCTGCCTTCCGAGACGTTTAAACATTGGGAAAACGTTGATATAGCGAGTAAGCTGTGCTTCTGACAATCTTTGGTATTAGACCAATAGGCTATTACTCTGATATATAGAAGGTTACGAAACATAAATGCTTTCCCAAAAATACCTTTCAAACAGCAATACTGATAGGTCGATATTTTTACAAATCTATCTAATCAAACTTATCTAGACCATTAAGTTTGTGTATGTACCGTAAAGAACGCCGTGAGTGGCGAGTAACATGTAGATGTTCAGTGCTCGGCTACCGAGAATGTAGGCAGTCCCAGCCAAGAATCCCCCTGTTATGGAAGCCTGCCGACAAGTTACATATTTCATCCCTGCGGTCAGCATGGGCAGAGCTGAAACAAGTAGTGTCATTTCAGTATGGACTGCTTTCAGTTGATATTCATTATTAATATATAAATGCTAATTCCAAATGAGAATTTCTCGATGTTTGATTTAAAGATTTTCTCCTAGCAATCATGACACTATATTGTTTGTCATTTTAACGAAGGATTTAATTATGCATATGTATATCAATTCACGGAAACATCATAAATATTTCAAACTTTTATAAAAGAAATGAAACAAGCATAACATAATCACATACACGAAGTTTTTCCTAGGCTGGACTCAAACTTAATGTACCATTGCGTAACACTGGGACTCAAACCTAGCTAGAGCCAGACTCACAGCGTTAGTAATAGTAAGGCGAAAAAACTCTTTGAGGACATCGTAAAAGCTCGATATCTTATCGTCTATGATATCTTTGAATATTAAAACGATAATAAAGATAAAAGTAACAACATTTTTAAAAACAACGAAACACTACAGAAAGCTACATCTAACGAACTTATCTCAACAGCTCGCATCTAACTCTACATGTGTTTTTCAAAATTACAACCCTTTCGGATGCAGTTTTAAAAATGTATTCAACCGCTTAAATCAGCAACTACAAACTTGTTTTATATGCATGCCAATGGAGGGGAATTGAGTTTACAGTACTATGTTTTTAATTTATAAATATCTCTTAAATCTTTTGTCCTATCTGACCTTTTGCACTTATGTGTGAGGGCGTGATAAATTCGCGTTTGCATTTCGTTGCGTAACGATGATTGTTGAGTGATAAATGAATTCGTGATCGATGCTGAACGCCTTTTAATGCGAAATAATGTTTCATAATATAAGTTATCTTCAATGTACATTAAAACTAACCTTAGCCTTGGCAGAACAGAAGAACAATTCTATTATTTACTCTACAGGGTTAAGTAACTTTTTCTTTTTAATTGAACACCTTTTCCCTATAACAATATATCGGGATACGTATCGCAATACATTCTGTCTTTATTACTATATATTGAGATAAACTCTATGCATATTGTGACACCAATAGTAACCTTCCGATTTGATCCTGAAAGTTCCAGCCGAAAACGACTCTCACTATGGGAGTACATAAACATCTTGAATTATCACAGGGTAAAATACATGAGTTTGTCTCGGAATCAGCTATATGACTGAAGTAAGATTAGCCGGTTATGTGATGAATATAATAGCTTACCAAACAAAGAGTATGTTGCTTGCTGAATACCCGATATAAGTGACGTCACAGAAACTTCCGCTTCAAACACAGTAATAAACTCCACAAAATATATTCCGAACGCCTTCAGAGTTCCAAAGATCAGAGCCATATTGATAGTACAACCTGGAAGATTTCATTGATTAATTAATGACCTAGGTTAAACAAGAGCCTCCAATGCATCCTTTATTATGAAAGGTTTTATCAAAATTATCCAGGTCCCGAATAGATATTAAGCATACATGTCTTGAAAACGTTATAATTGGATTTTGATTCCTTAACATCATTATAGGAATTCATTTGCTCATATTTTGCTTGTTTACATGGACAAAATCACTGGTCATTTGTTAGATACGTTAAAGGAAAAATATGTACAAAAAAAGTGACGTTCTCTGGGATTAATTGGAAGTTGTCTTTTAAATTAGTTGTATTGAATACACATCAATTAATCTTTTTTAAAGAGTATCTGAAAATCAGATATGTTAAGACAACACAATCTTTCAAATAGCGCTTGAATATCAACACATGCAATCATAAAATATTTACATTTGAAAGAGGTTCGCAGTAATGCGTTGCCGTTTGATTTCCACGTCTTACAATGAATCAATGAGTAATGCAGGTGTTACCTAAGGCAGACTAGATATGTTTTCTTGTACCAGCATCATCTAAAACTATTCTTTATCAAAGGTAGCAGAACATGTTCACTTGATCAATAATGTTCCCAAAGAAGTCTAAAAAAGAAGAAAATAATGTGCGTGTCCGCTATTCGTACTAACCTAACAATACCATCCAGGCCCATCCCTGATCCACCGGGATTCCGTCATGAAACGTATCTTTAGCTCTGTGACGATCAGTATCTTTAGAGCTGTTTGGAGTTTGACCAGTCTCGGCATCAATCTTTAATTGTTTCCTTCCATCTTTCAATACATGACATTCCGATTTGTTCACGCTAGCACCATCTCCCTTGTCCAAGTGTTTGCAGTTTCCATTACCAATACTGACGGGATCGGTTCCATCATTTATCGTGGTACTTGTGTTTGCCATGATGTCATCCCCAAAGCCGTATTCCCTGTGTTATGACGTCCAGGAGCTAAAATGGATGTCCACTAGCTGAAACCGTCTGTCGTGTTAGTGATGTCTGAACCTTCGTTTCGCAAACACCTCCTGTTACGGGATCCTGAATTCGACTAAATATAGATAAAAGGAAAAATTATTAATGAGAAAGTTCATTCTTCTATTAACAAATACATATAAATATGAGGCAGAAACCACAGACACGTTGTGTAATGATAGTCTTGTATTAAAGGTTGTGCAATGCTTGTCTTGTAAGACATAACATAAAGAACACAATTCCAGTAGAGAGAGAAAAAATATAAAACCGGCACTGACTTTGGATTAGTGCAATTTGCTGGAAAACTTTTCTCATTCTTTCCGTATGCTAAGAATCCTCATGTATCAACTTTAGCATAACCAAGCATCGAGATACATATATAGATATACGCCATTGTTTTCAGAATATTTCAAGCGAGATACAGTACAACTACAGTGATTTTATTGGAGTTTATTTTATTTGATACATGATAAATAAAAAATGGTATTCAAAAGTCTTTGCCAGTTCCCCATGGTAATGAAGGCCTATACATTAAAATATAATAAAATTGAAAAACAGAAAGAAAACAGCTTGATTGACATCTACCCCAGCAAGCTCCACTCAAGATACTCGTTGTCTTCCAATTTTTCAATTTTATAATAATAATATTAATAATATAAATAATTTGCTATAGCGCCCTATCTAGCTAACATAAGCCACTCTAAAGCGCTTTACAGTACATAGATATACAATTTTATACAGTCAATACGATTAGCATATATATTAATCAATACGATATTGAGGAATTCGCAGGAGCTGCCTTATCAGGTGCTAACTACTAGTCGTATGCCACCTGGCTAATATCTCCCCATGTGTGTATGCCTGCGTGTGTGCTGGAGATGTATTGTGTTCTGTTTGTAGTGGGACCGTGCTTCCAACGGTATCATTTATAGTGCCACCTCGCTTGAATGCTACAGCACAAATACCGCAACAACCACCCCAGACCATTTTATACTCCACCTGGGTTGTTGGAGTTGTGTGGGCAGGAGAAAAACACTTTCTCCGAATATTCCATGCGTACGGCGACTTCGGGGATCGAACCTCGACCGCCTGCTTGGAAGGCCGGAGTGTTAACCACTCGACCAATCCGCCCACAAATTTCGAAATTACTTATGTATGAAAAGAAAAGAAAACAGACTGTTTGCATTAGCACTGTAGCAGGTTATATTTGTGATGTGAAAGAGCTCTAGGTCGACGGAACATTGTTTCATATCAGGGGTGATGCGTTCTACCCGCTTTCGGTTGATATAAATCTGACTTAGTTTAGACATTAAATCCAATAGTTTGTTTACAGTTAATGAGATCTGTAGAGCGCCACGGTACCTCTGGGTACTATTTTGAAGGAAATGTCACGGAAGCGTTCGATTGGCTAAATGCAACTGACACTTGTCAGATGCTGCCAAGCGTTATCGATGAGCAGATAAATTCACTATGATACAAATCTGATAAATTTCGCTACACACTGCAGTGCATACTAGACCAAGTAGGCAGATATATCCAGTTCGTGGTATATCATTAGCTAGTTGAGAGCGAGCTGAGTCGTTAAGTAATGATTTAACACAGACACGAAGCTTGCTTCTGAAACTCTGGCTAAATCTAAAAGTAAACTCGCATATTAGAGGATTATTCTTTTTGATGGCGCAACGGATATCGAGGGCTGTCCGACTTCAACGTATGTAAGTTGCAAGATCACGGTCAAGGGCCAAGACAAACGTACTACAGCATTTTTTCATAAGACCTAGCTATCATCAACCTTCAAGCAAGGGAGAAAAGTCCACTATCCCCGGGTATTTCAGGCGCTTCCCCAAGTAGTATTGTAGACTTAACAACACAGAAACATTTCAATAAACTTGTTTCCGATCACCAGGTAGAGGAACAACGTCCTTCGTATAAGAAGGTCAGCTACAGTTGGCATTGCAGAGTTTAGGTTAGGTAACAGTAGGCCTAAGAGTCGTCTCTCGAATTTAAAATTAGAGAAACCGAAAGAGCCGTCGTATCTACAAATATAAATCTTTCTCCTATCATCATTTTCAATCCATTCACTACAAAACCGCTCAAACAAAAAAACAATTTGCTATGCTTCTCTGTCCGTGTCAGCTAGTGGTGGATCAACTCCAGACACGTCTCCCAACTTTAATTAGATAGTCACCAACAACCCTTTCAAATTCGAATTGGTCGTCCCAGCATCTGCCCAGCTCCGCTTTATCAAACCCATCCTTTACATTGACATCGCCTCCTGTTTTCAACAACAAGCGGCATCATGGCAAATTCCCGAAAAAAAAAATAAACGTCTTTTTCTCAGCAGTACGTCGTCAGGACACCCGACAAATTAAACGATACGTACATCCCAACTAAGCTGCAAGCCTCGGTTTGGATTATGTTACACAATCTTATCATTCGACTGGGATATCCTGATCTCTATGACAGACAGAAAGAAACATGATTAACATCAGATTCAATGTCTTTTTGTTTTCACTTAGTTCATTGTTCGACAAGGTTGAATACATTTTATTCTTTGTACCGCCGACCACTGAACACAATACCGATAACGTCACTTCCCTCATGTATACATTTTACCTAATTCTGAGGTGCAATGTCTTTCTATCAGTCAAACATTTGAAAACCTGACGTCTTCCCCGAGATACCATTTCAATATGGTTAGTTTCTTCATGTCCCTTTTGAATGATTAACAATAAACGAGAGAAGTGTATAATAATAACAATAAGGGAGATAACTATAAGTTATCAACTTTGAAGGAGATGACTCTATGTTATCAACCATAAGAGAGAGCACTCTATGGTATCAATAAGTAGGGTAATACAAAACAAGGATGATACCCAAAGACAACTGACAACTTCATACACACTGTAATCGTTCTCGTCTGGTATTCTTATCTTTACGGTACACTGCCATTCTTCTGATCTACATCAAAAGATCAAACTAGTCTATTTATATCACCTACAAGTTGACGCGTACATTCCATGGGTGAAGAGAGCGTTATCCTTGGAAGTGCCAGGATGATTGTAATAAACAAATATTTACAACACTGTTAAACGTGTTAAGTCCTTGACCTTGTAGGTTTCTTTATGTTTGGTATATAGTAATAATCTCCGTTTGTACCTGGGTCACCTGATCCGACCTTTCCGTAGACCTATTTACTCACCTCCCATCGTTACGGGTGTACAAGTTGTTGAACGTTATAAGACATTTAGGCAGGCACCTGTATTATACATACACACTGGTAGGTACGATGAAATGAACGTGGTTTAAATGGAGTGTATGCTCATGCATAATCAAATAAGTTATATGCATATTTAATGGTATATAAACACGGACATTGCTTATCGTTAACACAAGTAATATCTATAGTGCCGTAGTTATATGACCATTGTGCCGAATAAGATATATTGGGTATATCTAACAACTAACTGTACAGTTACACATGTTTTGATATCTATTCCCCGCTAATGACTATGGAAAGTATCACGAGGTAGAGGCACAGTAAAGGTATTCATAATGAAATAAATTATATCTTATATATTATATTATTATAATTATACCTTATATATTCAGATTTTGTATACAATGGCTTCTTCAATTAGTAATCGCGATATTATATTGATGTATACCTCATCATAGTTATTACCATAAATAACAATTAGATATTGGCTTTACACTAATAACTATATATATATTATACTTAAAAAAAAGACATTTGTTAAAAACAGTTTGATATAGACTGCATACTTATAACTAAGTATATATAATAGTTTAAAATATTAAACTTGTTAATAACAGTTACTTTAGAAGGCTTCATACTAATAATTATATATATGTAATAGTTCAAAAAAAGAAATTTGTTAATAGCAATTAACTATAAAGAACATGTTGTCCGTCACCAAACAAATAATTAGTCAGCGGTCACGTGATGTCATATTTTACCGTGTAAACTACTAATCTGATTTAATCTTTTACGTATTGATATGACAATATTGGCCTATAGTTTTTCAGTAACATCAAATGTATATCAGTTAATAATTATTCAGAAACGTAAATATGCGTTGAAGTAAATTTAATTTTATTATTAACGGAACACATTTATGTATTTACTAATTGATTTGTATAATTGATAACATTTAGAAATGATTTGACTAAACCTGCCGTTTTAAGGTTCAATAATTTAACTCATACAGGTAGATAAAACTATTAAAGTATATATTTGTACAAGGACTGAATGTAAAAGCCAAAAGTACATATTACGACAAATTCACAAAATCGTAATATTATTATACGAATGTTCAATTTTTCTGCTAGAAAACGTACCGAAAAGTTGTTTCATAAATAGCCCCGTGTATAGCGATTTGAGTTCTGAACGGAAATAATCAATGTGCTTCAGACGATATCCAACATCTAAAGCAAGCATGATAATTATGCAGTTTTAAAAGCCTGTACACAGTTGGCGTTGGGTCAGTAACTTATAATATTCGTGTGTATACACTGGGTGTATAGGGTGAATAGTATAAAGTGTATATATTCTGTCTAATAATAAAACTGACTGGAACAGCTGTTTTACTACCAGGGCCTTCGGCATGGCACATCCCCGGCATCATATGCATTTAAAGCGCCAACCGTTAAACAAACGAATGCATAAAATATGAAGCACATGTATTCCCATACCTGCTCCAGAAAAAAATTGGAAACCACTGAACAATTTCACCCACATACCGATCGTCCAGAATCCATAGGTGTGATGTCTTGTGCCAGCAAACGTCGTCTGCAACTGACGTGCACCATGACAGTCACTCATGTGCGTCGATCACGTGCTCACGAGCTGATAGTTTACCCTCCACGTGAAATGATACAATGGTATTAACACTCTACCCTGTATCAGTGTTGTAGGCAATGATACGTCTCTAAGTACACTGACCCGGTAAAAAGACAGTAGCCACTTCCTCAGCACAACGAGCATGCGTACTTTGTTATTAAAACACAGATACGTGTTGTGTACGGTCGGTTGTGTACACGAGATTGGTGTCAACCGTGAGGTTGTTCCACCATCCGCATCCACGTGGTTATATATGGTTTTTGACGATCGTTTTGCTAGCTAGTGTGCATACATTCTACCAGTCGTGACGGTTGAAATCACTTAAACCCGTGCTTCGGAGATTATAATTATTTCACCCGTGTACTTATTAATAGAGCGCGCGTGTACGCGGGTCAATATCAACAATCGCTGTTTACGCGAATGTGTAGTTGCTATGCGCCTTCATTGAGAATGAACTTTAGTTGGTTATATTTATATATAGTTCATTCATGTGTAATATAACAGATATCACTACAAGACTCCTACCGTCAGATATGACAAGTTAGATGTGAGAAGGGAGGACGGGTAGGAATAACTTTTAAACGCATCGTCATTGCAATTTTGAAATCCTATTCACAAGATGGCCCATCCATCTAATAAATCACGGGCTATTGATCACAAGGGAGGTAATTATAGCCCCGCGGTCAATCCCAATGATGAAGTACTGTCAATACAGATTGTCTGCCGCGGTATAACGATGTATTGATCTCGCTGTTGACAACACACAGTATCACTTAAACATGGAAATGATCAATAATTAACTTTCGTGGGACGTTCTATCGTTTCGTATCTGTGGTCTGTAATTAAAAGACGACTCTCTAGAGATGTATACGTAACCTTTATCTGATAAAGTTTCAAGATAAAGCTATATAACTTTTTTTGTAACTTCTACATATATTACGTACCATATTCGCTTAAGCCATATATCTAGAAAATCCCATGAAACTTTAAAAATGTTTATTTAGTTTTACAGTAATTATGAAACAAGTTATTTAAATATTGATATCAATCACTCTTATTGGCTCGGATGTTCGCGAGCAGGTGGTCTTACTCTCGGAGGAAACCCACGTGGTCGGGCAGGTGACCCTATACTTTTTCACATCCTATCAGGAAATCGAACCCCGGGCGATACTAAAGAGGCGCACATGTTATTATGTTAACTCTGTAAGATTTACAGAGGGTACTAAGAAGCTACTAGAAAGGTAACCAAACCCTCAAGTTTCCTGTGGTATATCACGATCTTACTACTAATACTACAGGTAAATAATGTTATACATGAAAACTTCATCGCTAGATCCTTTGTCACTCCTCACACTTAACTGCTAAATATTTAGGGTGGTTTGGTGACGCAGTGGAAAACGCACTTGCCTTTCAAGGCGGCCGGGGTTCGATTCCCCGAAAAGATATGGGATCACCTGCCCGACCATGCGGGTGTTCCCTAGGTTTCCTCCCGCATTTCCCCCCCCCCCCCCAGGCCAAACAAGAGTGATTAATATATGTTGAAATAAATTTTGATTAAGATAAATCCAAGACTCACCACAGCATTTAACATTTCTTACAAAGAAAACATCATGTAACAAGTACATCATTATTGTTCTACACAAAGGTGAAAATAACACTGCACAACTCCGAGCTGTACAACAGTTTTTATATAATATTTCCCTCGTACTACAACTATCAGATGTGGAATTGTTTACCAGGTAAATCTATAAACTGACGGGATATATTAACTTTTTGAACATGGTACTCATTAGTTTTTAATAACCACCGTTCATTACATCTGGATCAACAGCTCGAATGGGTATTAGTATAAAACACGCCTTTTCCTTTCATCCTGTCTTTATTTGTAGTATAATTTTCATTGGCTAAGATATATATGCACAGTTATACATCAGTCAGCTTTGCTCTCTAATTTTAACATATCACCCTTTTAAAGCAATTTAATGTGACCCATTTTTCAACGACGGCTATTGTGTTTCGATTTCGAAGTCATTGACTCTGTATTGTGTGGTGTTAGTAAGCGCTCTCACGCCGACCGCGAGTGACTTCGTTACCTTGACCTTCATACCATTATACTGTACCGTAGTGTTTCTAAAGAAATGTTATCTAAACGTATTTAGGATGTAACGAAACGAATATAAATTTGTATCGGAAAACACCATTCTATCTTATAAACAAAGGAATATTATATTGCACCGACAAAAATACTATATTGTAAAAACATACTATATTTTAAAAAACATACTATAGAATACATTTTCGTAACTTTTTTGTTCGGTTTGTTTATTATATTACTGGTTCGGAGAAATATTAGGTCTACTATATTCCACTGCATGATCGTTAGAGGTGACTAATGCAGGACCACTCGGGGATTTGTTCGTGTATTCTGTTTAGGGATATTGAAAAAACAAAGAATATACCTGCTGTATCTTAATGCATTTGTATTGTAAAATGCGACTAACATTGTCAGTTATATATGTACACGTCATTATACACGCCATTATAGTCAGTTATGTGGATACGTCATTGTCGTTAGTTCTATGTGTATACGTCATTATCGTTAGTTCTATGTGTATACGTCATTGTCGTTAGTTCTATGTGTACACGTCATTGTCGTTAGTTCTATGTGTACACGTCATTGTCGTTTGTTCTATATTGTATAGGTCATTTTCGCTTACGTCATTGTCGTTAGTTCTATGTGTTAACGTCATTGTCGCTAGTTCTATGTGTATACGTCATTGTCGTTAGTTCTATGTGTTTACGTTATTTTCGTTTACGTCATTATCGTTAGTTCTATGTGTATACTTTATTGTCGTTAGTTCTATGTGTACACGTCATTGTCGTAAGTTTTATGTGTATACGTCATTGTCGTTAGTTTTATGTGGACACGTCATTGTCGTTAGTTTTATGTGTATACGTTATTGTCGTTAGTTCTATTTGTAAACGTCATTTTCGTTTACGTCATTATCGTTAGTTCTATGTGTTTACGTCATTGTCTCTAGTTCTATGTGTATACGTCATTGTCGTTAGTTCTATGTGTTTACGTTATTTTCGTTTACGTCATTATCGTTAGTTCTATGTGTATACGTCATTGTCGTTAGTTCTATGTGTTTACGTCATTGTCGTTAGTTCTATATGTATACGTCATTGTCGTTTACGTCATTATTGTTAGTTCTATGTGTATACGTTATTGTCGTTAGTTCTATTTGTTTACGCCATTGTCGTTAGTTTTATTTGTATACGTCATTGTCGTTAGTTCTATGTGTATACGTCATTGTCGTTAGTTCTATGTGTTTACGGCATTGTCGTTTACGTCCCTATCGTTAGTTCTATGTGTATACGTCATTGTCGTTAGTTCTGTGTTTACGCCATTGTTCTTTTAAAGGTAAAAAGGCGACTAATGCTAGAATGCCTGCAGAATCGGGTTAGAAATCGCAATTGATCTGCTGCCCCCTTGAAATATTTGAGATCTTTATATTTCTGTCTACTTTCTAACTACCTGTTTATTTACTAGCGCATTTCTTGGCAATACCTCACTTTTCGCCTTAGTGTTGAACGTTAGCCTAAATGAGATAGTCAGTAGGTATTGTTTAACGGCCCATCGACAATGTGAGTCTAAATATTTAGGGCCAACAATACTGTAAAAAGAGACATTCACGAAAATAAACATATCAAACCAAAACTTAATAGCTTAAACTTTCCCCAGGCCGGGACATACCAACTCCTTAAAAATGGTAGTTGTTATTCCCTGCTTAAACATTCAATATTTCTACAAACGACATCAACTGTTTCACCCGTTGTCAGTATACTGAGACCGGGCATAATGCTTTGATGGGGGCTTCGGCATGGTATTTCTGTAAGGTAGCACTATAAAGTCGGCATCAGATCCTCGTTATCGCAGGGAGGCAATACATACCCTGCGTCTAGCACACATATACACAAACACGCATTAATGTACAAGAAACATGGAGGCGCATCGACATCAAACTGCACCACCAACCACGATACAAGAAGATTTGATATTTAAAAACCAGTGAAATTGGATATTGTGTTCATTTTTTATCATAACCAGAAAACTGTTCTACCTGTAACCTGGAGTAGATAGTAGATGTTAACTTACCCTGTGTCTTTATCTATCCAATGTCTGCTTCAAGTTTCAAGTTGCTCGACTTTAGCAGGACAAAAAAATAGGCGACGTCGGGACTCGGACTCTTTGTGTATGCTTTGATCGCTAGTACAGGTCACAGTGAGACCCAGTTACTACTTAGTAATGTGGAATTTTCGTTATTGTTATCTTTGTGTTCTCGTCAACGATGTCTATAAAATAAAAAAAAAACCATTACGTTAATCAATGTCAGCATATGCACATAAAAAAACACCAAACCCCTTAAAATATCTTGTACTATTAGAGCATCAATTCTTTAAATAACTTCATACTTGGAAATTGGAGCAAGATTTCTACATCGACATCGATGTTTTTTTCAACCTGGTATTACAGAAAGTGTAGAAATCGCTTTGTTGAAAAAAAACACATAATCTTTTCTTATGTATATATCCTACATTTTTACAGTAATTGCATTTACAGTTCAAACATTGACATACATGAAGTGTGCGTGAGCAAAGTGAAAGGTTGGTGACCACACCATAGTACAGACATACACACCACGCGATATCTCTCTGTAACAACGTCATTGACGGGATCCTTATCTACAATGAGCTCAAGGTCAACGGTCCAGACGTCTGTGAAGTAGGTCACGTGACGTTCGAGTACTACAGATGTACTTGACTATGTAGGTAGAACAGTTATCATTAAAACATCCAGTTTCTCTAATTCTATATGCTATTTTAGTACATTTAAAAATATATTTGTGCAAATATGGATAACATACTGACATAAAAACTAAACACAGTTCCTAGACTTTGAGCGGTATGTTAAACACTGATAATACTTTTACTTATGGAGCTTGAAATTGTCCATGCTAGCAGTTATACAGGTAGGAGGGCTTTAAGGATGTACTCTTCTGAGGTTTCAGTCACGTTCAAGTCTCGTTTTGATCTGGTGTAACGGGTTTTTGTAATATTTAACAAATTAAGATAGGTATAATAGCACACACACATCTGAAAAACATGTAAAACAAAC